AAGGAAGCCAAGAAATAGCAAACACGAGTAAAACTCTGGCATACAAACAAACACACACACAACACACACAACACACACAACACACACACACAGCTCACAACACACATATAAAACAGCACGCACCGTATCTGCCTGGCGTCCAGCGCTGGTACATGGCAAAGGTGTCCTGGTTGACGCCGATGCGTCCGTTCTTCGTGAGAAGCGGCGCATAAGTCCGCCCGTCCGGTTGGGGGCGGGGCGGCGTCAGGCACTGGATCGATTTGTTCATTTTGTTTGTTGCGGTTGTGTGGTGTTGTTTGGATGATGGAGCGGGTGTCAGCGCACGGCGCAATCACAGACTGGTAGGTCAAAGTGCGCGACGTGCACTGTCGCAACAAAAACAAACAAACACACATGAACGCACATACGCACGCACACCCACACATACACACACACGCACGCACACCCGCACACACGCACACACACACACACATACGCACACAGATGACATCACGTACCTTGACCCACACCTCGACGGTGAGCTTGTCGGTGATGTCGAGAGACCCGTTGGTGTTTGGCACGAAGATGGGCTGTGTTGCCGGGGCGTGCATCGTGGTGGGGGCGACGGCGCGAACGGTCGACACATAGATGTCCGCAGCGCTGCGTTTGTATGCATGTATGTATGTGTGTGTGTGCATGTGCGTGCGTGAGTGAGTGCGTAAATGAGTGAGTGCGTGAGTGAGATCATAAGAAACGAGAGTGTGTAGGCAAGTGCAGGAAAGCACCGAAGAACAGCATGGTTGCAAAAGCCGACAAGACAAAACACACATAGCATAATGCGCGAGCCGACATCAATGTTCACAGAGAGTCACACACAGACACACACGCACGCACGTATGCACGCACGCACACAGACACACACACACGCGCACCGTTAACCATTCAATTGCCAGACGCCACGTCCTCCCCTCCACTCCTCCGATCCCCAACTCACCTCATTGACTCGCCGGTGCACCATCCGTTTGGAAACTGGGGGCAGTTGGTGTCGGTCTCACCGCGGAGCTGATTCCCACTGATGAACAGGCTCTGGCCCCGCAGCTGTCACAAGGCGGAGAGGGAGGGGGCATGGTGGTGAACAGGGCAGCTTGCGAGAACGCATAGGGCTGTCATCTCTTTGGGCAACACGGGTTTCCGCACACACACACACATACACACACACACAGAGGACACACACACACAGACACACACAGACACACACAGACACACACAAACACACACACACACACAGACACACACACACACACAGACACACACAGACACACACAGACACACACAGACACACACAGACACACACACATGCACATACGCACACACCCCGCACCAGGCCTGCGGTGTCAGCGCGGCGGATGCCGTCGACAGGGAGGCGATCCGGGTACTTGTAGTGCATGAAGGAGAGGAAGGTGTTGAAGGAGAGCGCATACGAGTCACGCCCGCCGTTGGGGCCATGGATGTAATACGGTGGCGATGTACACTCGACGCAGCTGGCGGTGGGTGGAGAGGGAGCAAGGGAAGGGGGGCAGAGGATGAAGGTGGATGGGAGCGTGTGAGTGTTGGTGTGAGATGCAATGACGGTGGGATGATGTGAAGGGTGGGGTGGGACATGAATGGCACGTGGCAGCCACTACTATGAATGGCACATGCACACGAAGGAAACTACCAAAAAAAATATACGCACAACCACAACCACAATCACAACCACAACCACAACCACAACCGCACACACACACACACACACACGCACACACACACGCACACACACACACACACACGCACGCACGCACGCACACACACACACACACACACACATACACACACACATATCAACAACAACGGCAACAGCACCTGGTCTCGGTGATTTGGGGATCTGTTGCAATCCACGCCTGCCGCTCGTTCTCTGTTGGGACGACGGTGGCGACGGGACCAGACCATCCACGCGGGAAGCCAAGGTCGCCAAACACGGCCTCCGCCACAGTCGCCATGGGCCTGCAGTGGCATCACCAGCAGCAACCATCATCATTCATGAATGAATGAATGTCAGTCATTTCAATCAGTTCATTCGCTACATGATCCATACGTGCATTCGTGCTTTGATCGCCATGAGCACCAAACAGCAGCATCGTAACATCAGCTGTGCCTGGTCGTTCAGTGTGATTGACGGTGGTGTTGCTCACACCAAAGACACACAATCACGACATCTTACTCGATCAGTGGTTGGACGCGAGCATTTTGCTCGTCCAAGTCACGGACCTGTCAGCGCAATTGCAAGTCAAGGAACAACACATAGCCAGCGAGGAAGGAGAAGCAGTGTATGTGTGTGTGTGTGAGTGTGAGAGAAGGACCAAACATGCACGCACACACGCGCACACGTGCAAGCACACACTTGCATATACACGCACACACGCACACACACACACATACACAGCCTCCTCTCCCTTCCCAACAATCAATACCTGGGTTTGCAGCAGGGCAATGTCTTCGCGCTGCGCAGCAATGAACCCTTCGAGCATGTCCATGCGTTGTCGCAACGCCGCGTTCTCCTGTGCCAGGGATTCAAAACGTGCATCAACATCCACAGGCGTTTGTGCCAGCAGCTGCAGAGCCACACGCCGCAGTTCCTGCACTTGACCCTGCAAGGATGCTGTGCGAGAGAATACACGATGAAGGATGTTACAAACCGCAAATGATGTGACATGGGATTAGTGCCAACACTAACAAACAAACAGACCCACGCACAACAGCGCAAACACACAAACGCAAGCACCACAGCACTAACAAACAACACACACTTATATAAACACACACACAAACACACACAAACACACACACACAAATACACACACACAAACACACACACACACACACACACAACACACACACACACACAACACACACACACACACACACACACACACACAC